TGCCACAAAAAACGTACCATTACGAACATTACCGAAACCACCACGTGCCACCACCCGTACCACTTTTCTTACAGGGTAAAAGGATTTTCATGGCCGACCATCTCCGACTTATTTTGACGTATTCCGACCGGATCGAGTTATTTGAAACACGACATGATACGTACGTAATTTTTTATCGGTTATCGTTATCTGTTATTGTTATAGCAGGTTTTTGACAGAATCAGTTTTGGGAGGGTGTTCTGATCAACCCGATTTTGCTGACAATGTCGCACGGATACCTTATTTGAGAAATCATCTTCCGATTGGTGTACGTATTTCCTTTAAAGGCTATCATGTATACAATGAGTGGATTTAACATCTTTCCTAACGCTAAGTATTTTTCTAAACTTATGGCGGCAAAATTATTTACGGGCGACATGCCCGAATTAATGCAAACCATTCTCAATAATTTAAAAAATGAGTTTGGTTCATTATATTCGTGCGTACTAGTGAACCGATTTTGGTGCAAAATTGCAATTCCAATTCTTTGGCAAGATCCATTTTCGATCAATCAAAACAAACGAGACCTATTTTCACCCAGATCAAGACCATTATTCATTACTCAATACTTTTCAAATGTTAAATATGTCGAAAAATTCGGTTTAAAACAATATGAAATAAATTTAGAATTTTCCGAAACAATATTTGATTATGCAAGATTCCTAAAGGTTCTTGATCTAAATAATTTAGAATGTGAGGTTACAAGATGGTATAACCTCGAGCGAGATTGCGACACACTGAATTCTGAACTAGATTATGATGGTTGCTCAGAGTATGAACTAGAAGAATTACAGAATTCGGAACAAGATTATGATTACTACTCAGAGCATGAACTAGGTTACGATTCGCAGAATTCAGAACTAGATTACAATTCCCAGGATTCAGAACTAGATTACGACTCACAGAATTCGGATTCACAGAATTCAGAACCATATTTCAACTTACTGAGTGTTTGGGGAAATTACAATGCACCAATAAATTACATAATTAATTTATTACTTATGTTATTTATCAAAAGTGGCGCCATTTTGCATACATTAGGGTTAGATTTCTCTCCTTTTTTTAGAATTAAAAAGGAGATCTTTTACTTATTAAGAGATAATGAAGAATTTTTTTCAAGTATTCAAGATTTATATTTGAAAACACTACCAAATCGAACCAGTATTTTATTCGTTACTCCATTATTAAAAATCTTGGCAATAAATGCAATTAATATTAGTACTTTGGAAATTGACGGATTTCGAGATATATATGAGCCAAAATTAGCTCATGCTCTTAAACGTATTATTAAATCACAAGAGCAACTTAGGAAATTTAAATTATCTGGATTTTATGATTTCATATTTCTTCAAAAATTTTACGGCATAATTTTAGCTTTAGAAAGTCAAAAAAGCTCATTACAAGAAGTTATAATAGAAACCTGCGATTGTAGTGTGAGCTCGAGGTACTGAAAAATTGTAAAAATCTAGAAATTCTTCGTATTAGGAATTGCAGAAATAACAGCGAATTGATGAAAAAATTAAATTATAAAGTTAACACTTTAGAGATAGATAATTGCTCGGTTGATACTACTACTCTAGTACGAAGTTTAGCAGAGTCCGGCATATTACTACAACGCTTATTACTAAAAAACTTATCAGTAATTTGGGAAAATTCTTTACTAGGAGCATTTAAGTCCTTCTGTCCAAACATTACATATCTAAATCTTTCGAGGTTTAAAATTTCCACGCACATCATAGATCTTATTGGTGATTTACAAAAACTTCAATTTCTCACGTTACAAGACATTGCTAATGATGTGCCGGAAAAAGAACTAGTTAAGCAGTTTGCAGAAATATTGCCATCAACATTGCAATATCTTAACTTAGATAATCACACTTGGCCAGAATTATATATAGATATTTTGCTCAATTATTGCAATGCACCTTTAAGAAGGCTGATAGTTAGTCGCCTTGATATGGAGAAAAATACTAAAGCATTAATTGAATTCTGCATACGAAATAGAACTTTGAGTTACTTGAATGTGCGGAATTTGAAAAAGGATTCTGTAGACGTTGAAGCAGTTGAAGCATACGTTAAATTAGTACCATATGAAGATATTGTTGTTAATTGCTAATTTCTATAAATGCTTTTACTTGTGTATCAAGCTATTTTATTCGTATTATTACAGCGAATTTGTGGAATTAAGGAAACTAACCAGAAATAACGGAAAGATGAATTGAATGGTGGGAAGTTGGGTTAGATGTTATGTTGTTACAGATCTCGTGTGCAAAAGTTTTAAAGGTTTTGTGTGTGTGCCAGGTTGATGGTGCATTAATTAGTCACAGAAATCTCTTTTTATTCAGTACATTCGTAAAAATTTCATTAACTGTCCTATATTTTGTAAGTTTTCTATTTTCCTTTGTGAAATGACCGAACTAAATATAAGGTTTAAAAGTTTAGGTTCAGAGTGCATTATAAAAAGGTTCATTATAAAAAGAATTGACTACTCTGCTCGTAAGTAAAGTTTATACGGATATTATTACAGTAATCCGTATGAATAACCTACTGTTCAACACAGTAAGCCTACTACTCAACACGGCAAGTCTATGTTAACAAAGCTTATAAAATTTAGTTTTAAAAGTGAACCCTTTAATAGTGCAACCATCGTAAGGGAGAGCTTGATATTGTCATGCTGTGTTTAACTCCGATGGTTGACATTAGAAAACCCCACCAAAATCAGTTACGTAATCGCTGTTTAAAATCTGAGATCTTATAATCCAGCACAAATTATATTATATCGATAT